ATTCTGACTGATGGTGAGCCTATTTAGGGTTTTCCAAGCAGATAATGCTCAGAAGTGATTTACCATTCCCTTCTTCTGGGGGCACCCTCGGTCTGCCCAAGGCCAGACAGGCTGGCTCTACTTGCAAAAGCCACAGTAGGGAATTGAATTCCCAATCTGTAGCTCTGCAGCCAGATATCTAAACCTCGGAGCTATCTAGCCAGCTAATAGACAACAGCAGTAGTAAAGGCAGGTGCAGGGACTCTAGAGAAGCAGAATCAATTCTTTTGTGTCTTCTTCACACACAGAACAGGGACAGATGCTTTGAAACAGATGTAAGCAATGAGGTAGCCATGTTTGTTGATGACATCAAATTATTTACAGTAAATTAAAACAGAAAGATCAATTAATCTGTAAAACTAAGATTAGAAAAGGAATACCATAAGAAGAAATATGGCTTTAAAGAAAGTCCCCAAAGACTTTTTCCGAACTGGAGGGATGGGTTTTAAAATGCTAAATGCAATTCAATTTAATCCAGAGCAAGTAAGGGAGACCAAGGGAGAAAAAATATCCCAACTCCACATATATGTTGATGGGGTCAATGCTGACAGTGACTAAATGCCAAAGGGGTATTGGAGTTGTGGTGGATAGCGCAATGAAGGTATCAACTCCTCTGTGCAGCTTATGTGAGAAAGCTGAAGGAACAGAGCAAAAGATTGCCAATATTCTAGTGCTTTTACCTAAATCTATGAGTGATCATGCAAAGGGACAGTATGCCTGCCTCTAAGATCACCAGGTTTCAGAAAACCTCTTACATATTGTAGTTAAAAATCCATGACGTCTATTAAATAAGAAGTTGTTTCATTGTCCACATTAGAATCCTGGAAAACTTTTCCCCCAATTTCAGAAATGTTGTTAAGAGAGTTGTGGGGAGAGACCAGCCCATTCTGCATGAAATCATAATGGCCCTTGATTGCCATAACCCCCACCCAGCTAAAACACCCCCTGCGGTGTAGTGGACAGAGTGAGAGACCAGGACTCAGCAGCTGAGTTCAAATCTCCACTCAGCCATGGAAACTCACCAGAGAGTGTGCTTGTGGAATTTGTAAAACCATTTCTTAAATCTCTCACTTAATTTGAAAGCCCTCTTAGTGTCACTATAGGTCTGTTCCAACTTGATGGCAAATAATAGTAGCAACAACAGATTTATGCCTCATAATAAATGTGAAACATCTGTCTCACACTAAAGGTATCCTCTAATTGTTACTCATTAGAAAAGACAGTTGCCTCCTCTAGCAGGACAATGCTTGATTGACTGGCTAAAAAGCCTCACATGGTCTACCACAATCTATACTGCTTGTACTTTATTCAGGTATGTCTAAAAAGTTTAAGAGCATGCTCCTGGGTCTAAATCTTTTCAACAGAGAAAAGCTAAGCAAATTTGAGTTACCGACAAGTTAGACTACAACATTTAACATGACAAATAAAGGGAAGGATGATCCACATCTCAACGAACAAAGCAGTTGCTTTGCATTTTTTAAAAGTCGTTCAGTCTTGTCCGACTCTTCGTGACCCCATGGACAAGAGCACGCCAAGCCCCCCTGTCTTCCACTGTCTCCTGGAGTTTGGTCAAATTCATGTTGGTAGCTTCGATGGCACTGTCCATCCATCTCGTCCTCTGTCGTCACCTTCTCCTCTTGCCTTGCCTTCACACTTTCCCAATATCTGGGTCTTTTGCAGGGAGTCTTCTCTTCTCTTGAGATGCCCAAAGTATTGGAGCCTCAGCTTCAGGATCTGTCCTTCCAGTGAGCATTCAGAGTTGATTTCCTTCAAAATGGATAGGTTTGTTCTCCTTGCAGTACAGGGGACTCTCAAGAGCCTCCTCCAGCACCACAATTCAAAAGCATCAATTCTTTGGCGGTCAGCCTTCTTTATGGTCCAGCTCTCACTTCCATACATCGCTAATGGAAAAACCATAGCTTTGACTATGCAGACCTTTGTCGGCAAGGTGATGTCTCTACTTTTTAAGATGCTGTCTGGGTTTGTCATTGCTTTCCTCCCAAGAAGCAAGCAGCTTTTAATTTTGTGACTGCTGTCACTATCTGCAGTGATCATGGAGCCCAAGAACGTAAAATTTGTCACTATCTCCGTATCTTCCCCTTCTATTTGACAGGAGGTGATGGGACCAGTGGCTATGATCTTAGGTTTTTTGATGTTGAGCTTCAGACCATTTTTTGAGCACTCCTCTTTCACCCTCATTAAGAGGTTCTTTAATTCCTCCTCACTTTCTGCCATCAGAGTGGTATCATCTGCATATCTGAGGTGGTTGATATTTCTTCTGGCAATCTTAATTCCGGCTTGGGATTCCTCAAGTCCAGTCTTTCACATGATGTACTCTGCATATGAGTTAAATAAGCAGGGAGGCTGCCTTGTATATAATATACAGCCTTGTAGTACTCCTTTCCCAATTCTGAACCAATCAGTTGTTCCATATCCAGTTCTAACTGCTGCTTCCTGTCCCACGTATAGATTTCTCAGGAGACAGATAGGATGGTCAGGCACTCCCATTTCTTTAAGAACTTGCCATAGTTTGCTGTGGTCCACACAATCAAAGGCTTCTGGGCAGTCAAAGAAGCAGAAGTAGATGTTTTTTCTAGAATTCTCTGGCTTTCTCCATAATCCAGTGCATGTTAGCAATTTGGTCTCTAGTTCCTCTGCCCCTTCGAAATCCAGATTGTACTTCTGGGATTTCTCGGTCCACGTACTGCTGAAGCCTCCCTTGTAGGATTTTGAGCATAACCTTGCTAGCGTGTGAAATGAGTGCATTTGTACGGTAGTTGGAGCATTTTTTGGCACCACCCTTCTTTGGGACTGGGATGTAGACTGATCATTTCCAATCCTCTGGCCACTGCTAAATTTTCCAAACTTGCTGGCATACTGAGTGTAGCACCTTAAAAATGACATCTTTTAAGATTTTAAATAATTCCACTGGAATGCCATCACCTCCACTGGCCTTGTTCTTAGTCATGCTTTCTAAGGCCCACTTGACTTCACTCTCCAGGATGTCTGGCTCAAGCTCAGCAACCGCATTATCTGGGTTGTCCAGGACATCCAGATCTTTCTGGTATAATTCCTCTGTTTATTCTTACCACCTCTTCTTGATGTCTTCTGCTTCTGTGAGGTCCCTACCATTTTTGTCCTTTAAAATGTCCATCTTTGCACAAAATGTTCCTTTAATATCTCCATGTTTCTTGAACAGATCTCTGGTTTTTCCTTTTCTGTTATTTTCCTCTATGGCTTTGCACTGTTCATTTAAGAAGGCCCTCTTGTCTCTCCTTGCTATTCTTTGGAAGTCAGCATTCAATTTTCTGTAACTTTCCCTATCTCCCTTGCATTTTGTTTCCTTTCTCTTCTGTGCTATTTGTAAGGCCTCGTTGGACAGTCACTTGGCTTTCTTGCATTTCCTTTTCTTTGGGATGGGTTTTGTTGCTGCCTCCTGTACAATGTTACGAGTCTCTGTCCACAGTTCTTCAGGCACTCTGTCCACCAAATCTAGTTCCTTAAATCTGTTTTTGACTTCCACTGTGTATTCATGCTCCAGCTACCGTATAATTGCACTCATTTCACACGCTAGCAAGGTTTAGATTATACCTGACTAAAGGTAAAGGTTCCCTTTTACTCCAGTCGTGTCCAACTCTAGGGCGCGGTGCTCATCCCCATTTCCAAGCCATAGAGCCAGCGTTTGACTAGCCCAGTGGTTTTTCCTACTTTCTTCAGTTTAAGCTTGAATTTTTGCTATAAGAACCTGATGATCAGAGCCACAATCAGCTCCAGGTCTTGTCTTTGCTGACTGTATAGAGCTTCTCCATCTTTGGCTGCAGAGAATATAATCAATCTGATTTCGGTATTGCCCCTCTGGTGATATCCATGTGTAGAGTCGCCTCTTGTGTTGTTGGAAAAGAGTGTTAGTGATGACCAGCTTGTTCTCTTGACAAAACTCTATTAGCCTTTGCCCTGCTTCATTTTGAACTCCAAAGCCATACTTACTTGTTGTTCCTTTTATCTCTTGACTCCCTACTTTAGTATTCCAATCCCCTATAATGAGAAGAACATCTTTCTTTGGTGTCAGTTCTAGAAGGTGTTGTAAGTCTTACCTTTCATGTAAATAGTCCTAAATTTCACACCTCACATTTTCAGTAAAAGAGAAGCAGATAACAATGAGTAACAGAAACGGTCTCTTTGCCTTTAACTCTGGGCAGATATTACCCAATAAAGGGCACAGGGCAAGATAAACGTCTAGTTTGTTTGTTCATATAGGGGAAAAGTATGGAAGGCAACACCCCACCCCACTATTTATCAAACATCTACTTTGACTGCAAAAACACTTTTTATCAAAAGCTGATATTCAGGCCACAGATTGCCCAGATTGCCTCAGAAATATCATCCCCTGGTCCCTCTCCTCTTCTTTTCCAAGTTCTTGGCCAACCAACAGTAAGACACTGAATGATTGCTTAAAATTAATTCACACTGAAATATTATAAACACTTTTTATTAGTGTTGACAATCCTGCAAACTTGACAGCAAAGCATCGGACAACAGGTAAAAAGTCTAGTTATACAGTAGAAATTCAGTTACTCCCAACTCCAAGCAACATCCCACTCTTCCTAATTAAATGACTCATTGCTTCCAGTAACAAGATCCAAAGAGGATACCAAACTTTATAGCTCTATTCATTATGAAACAATCCCCATTAGATAGAAGGATTTTGATGTGCTCTGTACTTACAAAACTTTTTCAGAAGCTTTGAAGTCTGTTTGAAAATTGCATTGCTTACAAGTATTTACATTTCTCAAAGGACAGCGGCATTATTTTTAGCAAAAGATACATTTTACTTCCCCTGCTCCCCTGTCCTTTCTGATTAGATATCAATTGAGTAAAAAGGGAGGGAGGGCCTCTGCAAAAAAAAACAAAAAACCTAACCAATCGTTCTAAGAAAATGCAACATAAAACATAGAACTCACTTGTTTATTAACAGGTTGACTCTGAGGTAGAGATCCAGGTGCCAACACAGGTGAGTTTGCAGGGCTGCAAAGCTCAGGAAAGGGATTTGGTATGGCAGGCAAAGAGGATGTTCTGAACTGTTGCTCCTCCTCCTGTAAGCGTCTGTAAAACAGATGTTGAAGTGCAAACCAGGTTACCATAAGGCTCACATAATACTAGTCTATACAGAATCGCACCCACAATAAAGGCTACCAGAGCAGAGGAATACACATGTGAGACAGGAAAAAACGAAGTACAAGGTCAAATGGCCTGATCATTTTCTTTTCATCATAGTTAGAATACAAATAAGTGCTAGTAGACATAGTATCAAATTAAGTATCAGGAGACATGAGTTCAAACACCCATTTGGCTACAGAAATCCATTTGGGAAATGGCAACAGTAAATCATTCCTTGAACATATCATATGAAAACCCTACTTGGACTGGCATAAGTCAAACAACTTGACAGCACATAACAAAACAGACGGACAGGGCCATTAGAAATGTGTCTCTTTTGTTCTTGCACTTTTGCCAGTAGAAGAGGTTAGGCTCAAACTGGAAATGGACAGGGCCATTAGAAATGTGTCTCATTTGTTCTTGCAGTAGAAGAGGTTAGGCTCAAACTGGAAATTAATGCTAAGGCATTATCAGCATCAATTGTTCATCAGCGTCAGCTATGAACAATTGTGTGGCTCAATCACCAGCATACCAGGGGAGTGAGGGACAGAGTATAAAGCATACTTAGGGACCTGCTGTGTCTCCAACATATGCAAGATTACTGCCATGTTCAAGGCCATCAAATTGGCATGGAAATATGCCAGAACAACAGTATTCTGATCTGTATCATCCAACCCTAGTTCCCTCTGTGATGCATTTGACAGTTCAAGAAATCTGGATTGATTCCTTGTGCTAAACTCAATCCAGACTATTTAAATTCTATCTAATTAAGTAATTTCTACAGACTACTAAATGAATGCACTTGTGTCAGACACTTTTGATCAAGGTATTCAGAGCCTATTACTCCTTGTAAACACATGGATGGGCAACCTCGTGCGAATATATTACTCCCTGTAAACACATGGATGGGCAACCTCGTGCGTCCATATGTCTGGAGCTATAACTCTCAAAAGCCTAAACCTAAATTAGCATTTAGGGATTATATGAGTCTGAAATATCTGAAGGACACAGGATTACCTGCCCTTCGTGAGAGCTTCCATGCAAGACATATCTTTTTAATTAGTAAAGCTAACTGGCTTCATATTTAACAAGCAATACCTATGGAATATTCTTGAATCTACACCAGCATAAAGGTATTTTACACTTGCGTTTCACAAATTTCTTCAACACAGCGTCCCATTCAAAAAGTGGCAATAAAAAAAGATTTATCTCCTCATACTTTTATCCAAATTCCTTCTTTTGGTTTAGTTTCAATTTATACTTTGGGAGGGGATATGCACAAGCAGGTATTTTGCAACTTCATCTGCTGTTAATTGCTTTCCCAAAAAGGTAATGCTATTCCTTTGTTTTGTCTTATTTTAACTTGCTTTTTAAATACACCTCAGTGGATATTTCTGTCTTCTGTATTCTGAGCATCTGAAAAAGGCAATGTTAATAATGTGCCACAAATGGCTGAATAGCTTGGCTTGACAGAGCATTTTGCTATGAAGCCAGGAGTAGGAAGTTCAATTCTCATTGTGGTGACTGGCTGAATAGCTTGGTTTAACAGAGCATTTTGCTATGAAGACAGGAGTAGGAAGTTCAATTCTCATTGTGCTTTATAGAACAACCAGCTGCACTGGCCTTGGAGGAGCTACACAGTTCCAGAGTGGCCCCAAAAAGAAGGGAGAGGTAAAACAGGTAGAAATTTATGGAAATTGACTTCACTCCCTAGCTGTACATTTGTCACAACTATAGTCATTTTTGAACTGAGTCCCTGGGTACAACAGCACGTCGTAAGAAAAAGTATGAAACACTAGCCCATAAAGGAGGCTTCACCTTGCTCTAGAGTGACTTCTTATAAGAAGCTTCCACCTTAGGAAGGTAATTCTGTCTAGTCTCTGATGGGAATATTTAGTGAAACACACACCGTCATAAAAGAACTAATAATAATTATTCGTCTGCATGACTCACTCCTCTTTCCACCCTCCTTTATGGCTCTCTCCCGTGGCCAGCAACTGGCTGGCTGATCACTGTGTGCAGCTGGTTGTTGAACTAGATGGTGCTTGGTGCTAATTAGACATGGGGGTATTCGTATATGAATATGAATACCCACACACACACAGGTGGGCACAATGAGGGCCCGCTGCTGCCGCCAGCTCCGCACTCCCTTCCAATCGCTCTGGAGCTCGCAGACAATTAGCCACTGCTGGCAGGAGGCGGGAGAAAGAGCCACTCTGCCAGGTCGAAGAGTGGCTGGATGACCGGGCATTCCGGAGTGATAGAAAGGGAGTACGGAGCCCGTGGCAGCAGCAGGTGGTCAGTGGATGGTCCAGACCCTCATTATGTCCACCATTATATACGAATACCCCCCATCTTTGGTGCTAATCTAAATTGGTAAGGGCATCTGAGAGAGAAAGCACAATATAACCCACCAACTTGATGGCTCTAATCATAATCAAAGAGTCAGGATTATTCTGTTGTGCAAGACTGGGTTGCAAAGACGGGGTGGTGCCAGGGAGGAGGAGGAGGATCGTTGCTTTACTGCTTCCATACCTGACTGCCATGATGCGTACTGGCTGAGACCTCTGTACTTTCTGTTTTGGAGACACAGGATGCAGTGAGTTTGTTCCTGAGGCTGGAGGCTGGCTGCGGTTGAGCTGGCCATTCTGAAGGAGTGGTGTGCTTTCTGAATGCATACTGTAGCTGGTGTACAGACTTTCAAATGAGGAGTTCATGTCATTAACTAAAGCTTCCAAGTCCACATCATCATCTGAAAGGATACAAAGTGACAGACAAACTGAGGGTGAGAGGTAACAAAACATGTGGAAAATGCCATTATTTGTACACAATGGAGATAAAACAAGTGGCGGGGGGGGAGGGAGACCTCACAGGTGGACAAAAACAGATACTGGGCTGTTCTTTATGCAACCCTAAACCATATTTACATGAGTTTGTAGTCCTATACATCTAAAAAGGCACCAGATTAAGAAAACTCAGAGGAATATTAAACTGTAGCAACGCTTGGACTTCCTTGTTCCCCTGCCTCTTCGAAAGCAGCTATAAACAGGAGGTTTGAAGCTTTCCCCTTCACTTTAATTTAACCACAGTTTGCCATGCAAGCTAGTCCCGGACTACCATGACTAACAGAAATAAACCAAGTTCAAATAATTTAAGATTTTATGGAAAAAGCTTATGTCAACAACCATGGTTAAGAATAAGCTGAGGACTTGGATACGTTTAACAGCAGCTAACTTAAAATGGAAACTGAAACTTTTCAGCTGCCATGTCAGAAAAACTGAGAGAAGGGCACAAGGCTCAGTGATATTCTTAAAACTAAACCATGTGTTCATCACTGACACAGCCAGTGTGTGAACCAATTTATGCACTCACGCAGCTGTATGAGTTGGGGAAGGGTGTGCATGTATTGGGCATCCGTATACTGTATACAGGTCTGCATGTGGTATACTCAGTAGACATTATCATAGAGATGTGTGGGCAGTAAAGACATGTGCTTGATTCCATCCAGATGAGATAATTGGATACGCTTGCAAACCAGCCTTCAAAATTTCTTAGAAGTTCACAGCTATAAGTATCCTAAGGCTGTCAACATTCTTTCATGTTTCTAAGAATCAAGGCCTAACTCTAAATTGTTGATTTCAATCTATCAGAACTTTTAAAGTGAGCATCTGCCTACATTCCTTAGACCAGAGGTCCCCAACCCTCGGTCCGCGACCCATGCCGGTCCGTGGCCTGAGCTGGACTGGGCTGCTAAGACAGACCTCCCGCCCCCCACACGCACTCACCCTTACACAGCCAGTTTGCGGCTGCGCGTGCGCTCCAGCATGCCTGTGCAAGCACCTCGCCACTGTTTGCAGATGCGCATGAGCGTGCATGCACCCAGACAAGTGCCACGCCACTGTTTGCACATGTGCACTCACATGCACACCCATGTGAGAGAGCGCACATGCTTGTTTGCGCATGCACAAGAGGTGCCCCGCCTTCACCAGCCCGAAAAAGGTTGGGGACCGCTGCCTTAGACTGAGTATGTCTACTCTAATTAATGCCTCTTCCAATATCAGATAATGATATTTCCTATCATAACACAGAACAACATTAAATAACTATTACATGCACAGTTCACAGATGCCTGTTACATCATTAGTGGACATTTCCCAAAAAAAAGTACAAACAAGCAAACACTTCCTTTAAATGAGTAGCTGCTTCTTACCAAGAAGCTCAAATATTCATTTTAGGTCTTCACCAAAAGAACAAGCTCATCAGCATTTTCATAAAATAGAAAGCTGAAATCTTAACATGGACCACCCAACTGTGAGGTTTCTAAGCACGTGCTTAAAGGAAATTGGGACTGCCAGTGATTATAGTCTATTGAGGTCCCATCCTGGCTCTCTGATGAGGTCTTTCACTACATGTGTGTTTCCCTCACTCCTGATCTCTGTCTTAGGATAACACAGCCGATAAAAAGTTTCAGTTTCCATGCTTCACCCCACCAAATAAAATTATTTTTTTTAAAAAATCTCAACAAAGCCTCCTTATTTTCCTTATCCTGCTTTCCTCAAGATGTTCGAAGGATATTTGGCAAGATAAATATTTAAAAATGAAATCAATGTTTTGTGTAATCTAGGCAGTCTCTACACAACTTAGTGCTAGAAATGATGCCATTTTTTAAAAAGGTGATCAAGAGTATGTGTGTCTTCTAAAGCTCTTTAACAGATATAAAAGTCTTGCTTTTGACCTTTATATCACAGCATCCACAATAAGGGGAACATGTTGTATTTCTGCTAGCTGTAGAACTGTGGAAGGCCACTGTGTCCATTTAAATAAAGCAGCAGCACGGTCAGGGTAACAGTTCGTTGGACCATGCATCAAGGAACACCAAGCAGCCACATCGCACCCCTGCTTCTAGTACCTTTGCCTTCACTCAAAATGAAAACTCAATTGAGGTGTCTCAAATTGAGGGCAGGAATAAAAACACAGGTATAAAGGGGAAGACAATGAATCAAGTGCTAGAACAGGAATCCTGTGGTACGTGAGCTATCACTTGCCTACTCACTAGCTCTTGCCGCGATAAGGAAGGAGCCAAGAGGAACAATGTGGTAGAGGAGGGGGGAGGAAAGGAATAGGAAACCCACACAGGATGTACCTTGTTTAAAGACATCCCGAAGTCTGCAGCTAGCAACATAAAATATTAACAAAATAAACTAAATTCCACAGGTTTTTGGATAAGATGAATTACACAGATCACCTCAGTCTGGCCTTTGGGAATTTGGTGAGTTGTCTTGACTGCTGGTTCTTATGGATCAACTGTGGTATCCCTGCAGGTCACCCATCATATTCTCAGACTTGGAAATATTTCACAGTATTTCCAGTAGCGCTAGAGGTTGAATTCAAAATATAACATGGGGGGCGGATTCTGCTTGAATAAAGTTTACTAACCTTTACTGGCCAATAAAGAATTTGTTCTTTTCCACTATAAACATTCTTAGGTTCCTCACCGCAAATCAATCTTAAACACAGCCAGGCTTTCTGTGCAGTCCATACTTGGATTTTATTACAACACTGGCAACTGATATGCTCTGGCAGCCCTACAAGTTTTAAAATCTAGAATCACCCCACAAATTCTATATGGCATCCCAATTTGGCAAAGTGCCATGGATCGTTCAATCAAACAGGTACAATCCCACTTCCCGTACGTAAGGTATTAGGTCTACCAAAGTGTGTTCCCTACTCAGTACTCTGTCTTGAGACCAGACTATCCACACTGGAAAAGATGGCATGGCTGAGAACTTTTCAATTCTGGCTAAAAATGTTTTATAACTCAGACCAAGACAGCTTATTATATCAGCTCCTGAATGATTCTGACCCTCCTTTTGGGTCTACCACCCTTTTTAAAAAGCTGAAAGTGATTGGCCTAGACATTGGCTCTTTAGGTTCACTAAGTCTAGCGCATAGGTTCCCAAAGTGGTCTATGAGGACCCCAGGGGTCGATTTTGACTTGCAGGGGATCCACATCAGAGAAAGAAAAAATTGGGAGTGTACAAGATGTAAATTGAGTTCTACACGAGCAGATCCCATTAGGTAGATCATAATAAATATTTAGGCGATCCGTAATTACACCAAACACAGATTCTGTGCACATAATATTTCATAATATTATTTAATTAGGTACTATGTACTATCTATATTGTGGTGTGCTACATGCATGTGTAAGTTCGTAAAATTATTGGTAAAATGTTATGGTAAATGTCAGTGTGCTGCAAATGGTATCGATGACATTTTGTCATTTCTCATTACTGAGCTAAACGGGCACACACATCGTGCATGTACGTACTTGTTTAGACTTCTATCAAAGCTTTGCATACACTTGTTTGATTCATAATTGATAAATAGGAGTGTTAGAGACGTTCAGTTGCTTTCTGAGTTTTGAGAACTTAAAAATACGTTCAAAATATAGATAGAAAATAGGTAAAAGTCAAGTGAATCAAAATCATCTTTTTTAGGAGTGCCTAAGAAAAATAAGTACACAATTGTATACATATTTTATAGTCATTACAATTGAATAGAGCTGTATACGTATTTTTGTGGACATTTCAACCTTTTTAAAAGTATTTTTAAGGGGAGCTGGAGGTGCCTATGCTCACCATGTTAAAATAAGAAACTTTAAGGTACATTTATTCAGAGACTATTAGTGATAAACACCTGAAACATTTACAACATGTTTACTGATTAATTTATAAGCTTTTAATGTGGCAATATTATTATTTCTGACTTAGTTTGGTACAATTTTTTTGTTAAAAGCCATTTTTAAACTTAAAAATATGTTTGTTTTCAGAATTTCATCATTTGTACCAAATATTTTTGTTTTCCTACATTCTTTCTCTTCTTCAAAACATGGAAATTAAACTGTGGCATTGTCACTACAAGCAGTCTTCACACTCGAAGTATGTCGCCAACAATACACATATTAAGTAAAATGAAACCATACAAACACTTTTTTTGTTCTCAACATTTCATTTGTCACAAATGAAAATAGAATAAGCAACCTTAACACAGAAAACATGGCTAAGAATAGGATATAATCTAGTCCAGAAACAGAAAATCCAATGTACTCACAAGATGATGTCAGAAGCACTCACTGGCAATGCCCACTTTTGCCCCAGCCATGCCTTGTATAAAAATGCATGCTGCAGGCAACTATAAAAACTGTAATAATTCAATTTCTAGAGCAGATAGAAGGATGAAACAAAGTTTGCCAGAAAACGCAAAGTTTGATTTAATTTATAAGATCAAAAACTAAAAATTGGTGATTTTTCAATTTTGACCACCTCTGGCTCCCCTTAATATTTAGAAACATTTTACTAGTACATTGCAGTATGGATACTGGAAAAGTCAATTTACCAAGCTCTATTGAATGTGCGTGAAGTTTTCCATTGTGTTGTAAAAAATATTTTCAGTATTACCAAAAACTGTTTTAAAAATATTTGCATGCTGTCTGGACACGAATCAAGTTTGAATTGCTCTGTCTTAGCATATTTAAATAACTTCAATTTTACTCAGTTAACTTCCATCCAACATGGCTGAAGCTAAAAAGAAATGTAGGCAATATAGTGTTTAATATTTGAAGTTCGGCTTCATTGCATCGCTGTCGGACAAACATCTGGCCATGTGCCTTTTATGGAACAGTTTTAAGTAATGATGCTATGAAGCCATCCAAGCTAGAGGATCATTTGAGAAGGTGTCACCCTGATGAGA